TTGTAGAATATTGTGTATTTTTCGGTTATTATATTTATTAATTATAAAATAGACTTAATTTTGTTGGTGGAAAAAAAGAAATGTGTATATTATGGTTCCGCATTGCCGAATGTTATCGACCCAATCTTTTTTTTTTCATGGGATCGTTAAAACAAAATACTGTTCTCGTTTTATTATCTTGTAAAATAAAGGAAATCTTCTTAAACCGGGACGTAAATAAGAGTAATAAGAGTTTCTTGTCGTAAATCTTGGGTATTTGTTTATAGTACATCCAACTATTTTATTAGGTATACCCATATCATATAGTATAATATAAACGAACAATAAACGTGTCTGTATAAATCGAATAATCTTTAGACAAAATCTCAAAATAATAATAATTTTAAAAAAAACCCATCATAATATTTTTCGAATTCATCTAAAGCTAAAATAGTACATGAAAGTGTACAACAAATACATAGAGTTTTATAGCGTACATATTACTTTAAGTTACATAATAAAATAAATAATATATTAAGTTTCGATTAGCGATTTTTAAACTATACAACTATAGCATAGTTATATACAATATTAGAGGCAATATTTAAACGTTGTATAATCTGGTTTTACTACCTATACTTATTATTTGATGGATATATTTATCGGATATCTATTAGTAATAAAATAAATGGTTAATTCTATGCTTATGGTTAAATTAAATAATTAGTTTGATTTATGTAACTACGCATTGCTTAAATTGTTTTATATACATTATTAAGGATGTGCTATAGATAATCAATGGATTTAATGCTGTAAAAAATATCGTCATGGTACAAATTGTAAGTACTTACACGCAATATATAACAATATGGTGCGCTGATCCCGTCCGTGCGTTTTCGCCGTAAACGGTTTTTTTTACAGGAATATATTTGATTTACGGCCTTTTAAAATCCTGTGTTCTTTTTGACACAACCTATATTATACACGAAAGTGCCATTTTCAAAGAACTGCGGATCATAATGTTTGTGATACCAATAAGTTATACGGAAAACTGTCAATTGTTTCCACTTTAAGCCGGTGTAGTATACATATGCATTACCTTACACTTAAAATAATATAACCAGTGATTGATATTAAATTACTATATGGCTGTACAATATAATAATTTCATTCGTTGTTATGCAACTATGAATTAAAAAATTATATTCAAATGAAACCGCACACTGCATGCTGTAACACATTTTTAATGAACTATTAATTAGATTACTATTTATTTGTTCATACCTATAAGTTGATTTTTTTAAGCATGCTCACCCCTTTTTTATCTTCATAGGAGGGCATTTATTCAAATTCTAATTTTTAGAATTTTTAAGCATAGCTGAGGACCATGTATTTAAATTCTCGATATTTTTCGAACCTCTTAAAAAATGTCCTGTGGGGGTACAAACTTCTATTTTTTTTTATTAAGAACCCATCGTTTTTACTTCAAATTATTTAGCGGATGATTTTCTTGAACATTTTAATGTATCAGAATCGAAATAATGTTCTAATGAATAGTTGCTGAGTTATTAAAACGCTTAACCTAAGCAAGGATAATGATCCTTAGATGTGGTTTTAGAAAAATATATGAAGTAATATTAGATGTAGTATTTATTATACTTTGCCGTTTTTAAAAATTAGTTGTATTGATAAACAAAGTGTTTATATTAATATTGATTACTAACATTTTCGAATGTTCCCATAGCTATTGTACTTAGCCCTGAGCACAAAAATAAGATTAGCATATGCTTATTAACAATATAGCCATATCACATATGTATATCTGTGCGCTTGCACTCGGTTTACCTGTCATGCATGGGGCTCGTTTTCGAGACACCCAAAAATATTTTTGGAAATATAATCCTTTGCTAAATATATGACGCTACCGTATTTGTTATTGTCGCCGTCGTATAATAATAGTATACAACGATGTGGACCGATGAAAACACTCTCGCGAGTCACTCCATCTAGCATTCGACCTTGGACAGTGGGTGATAGGTGTCATCGTCCCACATAACACGTAAAATAGTATTAAATAGTATATGTATACCTCCTATACGGAGCGAACGTTGTCATATATTTATCGAAGTGAAGTCACTCGTCGTTTCGTTTACTCGCATTATTATTGTCGTCTTCGTATATCGCTTCCTTTTTTCCCGAGTCCTGACGGGAAAACCATCACGAGGTCCCGGGGCCGCTGCTTCGTGTTTTCTAAATTTCCCGCAGCGACGTCGGAAAAAACAACTCGATCCACCCTGTATACACATCACATCGGTCCCCTCCCCTTCGACCCGTGCGTGGAATAATCATATTATATTATTACTATTACTATTATTGCGTCGCCGCGGCGCGACCGGGCCGGCCGTCACTGCAGCAACCTATATAATACCATTGTGGGTGGTCTCTGTCCTCCCCTCCACCTCCGACGGTCGTCGTTTGGATCATATATTTAAGTTCGAAAACGCATAACAAACACCACACGGTGCGCGCATCCAGCGGTCGGACTCGATGTATATATATATATATATATAATATATATATATATTACAACAGTATACGTTAATAATGTATAAAATCAGTGGCAGGTTTCTATTCCAAAAGGCGAACCGCGCGAGAGTTAAGTCACGCAATCGTTATGAAATTATTTAAAAGTACCGAAATTACGATTCTTCGTTTACTTCTTAAATGTCAATACGTCAAGTCGAAAAACGTCAATATTTTTTTATCAAACCGGCAGTTCCTACACCGAGTTCGCGTATCCGAAATTGTGTACAGTTATTTCAAACTGACTTCACCTTAGAAAAACTTAAATTATTGATAAAAAAAAAATCATAACAGTCGCATACGATACGAATTACATGTGATAAATCATGAAATCATATTATAAATGGTACACTGGCGTGGACCTTAGGAATTTGAAGCAATATAATGTCTGATCCAAATAAAACGACTCATCATTTTTATATGATGTGAAGTTATGTCGTCGTATATGCAAAGGTGGGCATTAACTAGTTAAAAAGTTAAAGTTAAGTAAAACAGTTAATTTTTTTTAACTTTTTAACTTAACTAGTTAGTTTGTTTTCTAATTAACTTGTGAACTCAACTAGTTTAATTTACAGTTGAAATAACTTAGCTATTCTCAGTTGATTTAAAAAAAAAACCAATAAGTTAAAAACATTTTGAAATTTTTTGTTTATACGTAAATATTACTATATCAGTATAAAATAAAAATAATCCAATACTTTAATAACACAAACATTTCTGTACTTTTTCTTGATAACATAATTTTGTGTGTATTAATATATTTTATTTATTATAAAGGCAATAAGCTATTATCATTTTATAGTATTAGATGTTTGCAGTACAAATAAGTAATAACAATAATTTATTATCGATAAGAGAAATACAGCTGACCACCAGATTCTGAAAATTGGAAAGAAAATTCTAAAAATAACTTGAAAACTAAATTATCGTTTAAAGTAAATAGGTATAGAGTATAGACGTTATAGTTGTGTATAATATATACATGATAACTGATAATATTATGCTGGTCTATACTTGTAGACTATAATACAATACAATATTATGAATTATAGTCCGCATGCATCGGCCAGTAGTGCCTTACGTTGTTCGTAATCGTACATATAAATTAGAAACTAGAAAGACACATTCACTCTCTATGTGATTTACTTAAAAAAAAAAATAGATTAACTTTTTTTAAACTGAGTTAAGTTAATTTTTTTTTCTATATTAACTTTTAACTTATAGAGTTAAGTTTATAATTTGTTAACTGTTAACTTTTAACTTATCGATCTTGTGTCCTTTTAACTTAACTTGAGTTAATTATTTTCACTAACTTGCCCACCTTTGCGTATATGATAGCGACTTCGATTTAATTGGCGTGATGATGAATGATCACAATACCGATATCGGGTGCAGAAGTCATCTGATGGTGCACTGTGCTGCAGTTGCAGCTGCAGCGTGACTATATAATATATTATATTATATTATACGCGTTACGTGCATCTGCTCCTGCCTCCTGCGACAGTGGTCCATTGGGCAAAATTTACGATTTAGCCGGACACCGCTTCTTGTCTTCCGGACGTTCGCGTAGTTTAATAATCCTTTAATCCTTAGGACCACCGCGGAGATCAATATTATACGAAAACGAACCCGCGGGGGAGGACCGGCGGTGCTCGGGTATATAATATATTATTATTATCGTCGTTTCCAATTATATATTATTATTATCGCCCTCTTAAGGCGTCTTCGGGCTTTACGACCGGCCAGTGGTCGAAAATCGTTAAACTCATTATTCTACGGGCTGTAAATAAAAACAGGAGCCCGCCTTGTCGTTTATTTCACTATTGCTAATTGAATATTTATTATCATATTATACGATATAATAACACATTGTAACATCGGTTTAAGCTTAACTGCAGTTTTCGCCGCTGCGTCTCGTCAGTTTTTGGAACTTACCATAACGCTATATTATTTTAATAATATTTTTCACTCGCAGCAGACTGCCCGCAAAAAAGGATTGTCGAATCGAGATCGGTCGGAGGAAAAACATTAAAAACAAATTTGTTTTTTGTTGGTAATTGTTTTTTATTTCTTCTACTAAATAAAAAAAGTTTTTTTTTACACAATGTCTAATTACGTATAAAATATAACAGACAATGGAGCGTAAAGTAAAAAAAAAAATAAACAATACACATATAACATAATATATGGCAATTGAACTATACATAAAACGACTTTGTACCAAATAGTGATCGATCGATAATAATAAACACACAGATTTAAAAATATATTTTTTTAACATTTATTATTATTATAGGTATGTACAAATTACAATAATATCATACAAACACCGCATGACTGTATATTATACGCAGCTGAATGTAAAGCGATTATAATATTAACATAATATTATACACGCGATATATAATCTCCTAGAATTATATGCAATACATATGTACCTATATATCATAAAAGTCTTTAATCACAATCCTTATATAGATTTTGATGAACGCGTCGTCGGAAACGGAAAAATCTAGATATAAAATATAAAAGATGCGAACTGATGATAATATTCTCGAAAAAAACAATATTCCAATAGATATAGCACAACACGTCATTTAGTAAATTATGCTGTGTATCGTATTATCGTAGGCTGGGGATCATTCTCGACGAGCTTATTCGATCAAACGATTTGATTTCAGTCTGTAATATATCAGTTAACAAGCGCCGTTCTGGCGCCATCCTTAAATTTCTACCCCCCGAATTGTTTTTGTTTTTTTTTTTTTTTTTTAATCCCAAGAACTGTGTAGTACGCTTCAGTCGATCCGATCTACGAATAAATAATAATGATAGAAAAAAAACACGAAAAATAATGAGAAATTTAGGTATATATAACAAAAACGAAAAAACGCGTTCCGGACGGCCGAAAAAAAATGTTCACGTACCGAAGCGCGTCTTATTCCGTGCTTCTGCAATAGTGAAGATCATCATCGCCAGACTAGGTAAGCGGACGCAACCACCACCAGCAGCGCTCGTGGCAGTAAGTCCGTCGCGGACCCTGACCCTTCGTCGTCGTCGTCGTCGTCTTCGTCGTCCAATTCATCGTCGTCGAAACTGATGCCGTCCGTTGCTTTGTACCTGTTCCGGACATCCGGCTGGTAGTCCGCGTTGGCCATCATCATTTCCACCTCGGCCCTGTCCGGGTCCAGGTCGAACATCTTGGGACGGTGCTTCTTCCGGTTCTTCCGGCCACCGGATTTGTTTCCGCCACCGCCTCCTCCGCTACCGCCGCCAGTCGGCACCTGCTGTTGGAGCCTCGGGTCAGCCTCACCGCCGTAGCACAGCCTGACCATGCGCTCCTTCTGGCGCAGACAGTCAACCGCCGTCCTTCCGGTGCACCTGCACCGGTTCATCTTGGACGCCTTCTCCTGCCGCTGAAGTATCTCCACCGAGTTGAGGCACCGCTCCGTGCATGCCACGCCAAGCAGCATCCGTCTGCAGTACGTTTGATAGTAACCCAAAGCGGCCGCGCACACCGGATCCACCGTGCACACCCAATTGGCCAACTCGCACGGCACCACTGTCTCGTTCTTGGACGCCTCCAACACAAACGGCCGACAAACCTCTACGCGGGCCTTCATCTCCTCGCAGTAGCGATCCCGGCAAGTGCACTGTAAAAAAAATCCTTAAGTTAATACTACAACAATGTTTATGTTATGCATGTTAAGCAAGTTATATAATATCGTAATTCATGGCCTTGGTATTGGTATTCAGTGAAGCTCGGTGGAGGTATATTAATTGAATCACGTGATTCCCAAAAATATTAATGGCTGGGTGTCTTATATGGAACAAAAAAGTAGTTTGAATAGTTTTTAAAGGTTACTTAAGCACTTTAACAACCCACGAATTCACAATTTGAAGAGCAGTAAAAAAATGTTTTAGGTTGGTGATGTAAAATTATTTAATGTGAGTCGAGGAAAACATTTCAAGCCACCACTGAGGCACTGCCCAATGTAAGTAAAATATAGGCATTGGGTTGATTTTTTTTTGTTGGTAAAATAACCTCCGCAGCACTGGCTATGGGATAACTACTAATTTAGTAAATTACATATATTATTGTTTTATTATTCTAATTATTATTAAAGCTTGGTTTGAAATTTGATGGCTGTGTTGAATTCGATAATGTTGAATAATGACTGGAGATCATTCTGAAGTATTACAGCTACTTTGATGTCGAAACTGGCTCTTCAATCGTTATTACTTTATATATATTTTTTCACATCATTATATAACAGTTTGTATCAAATATAATATAGCCATTCATTCCCTACATGCATTATTTTGTCTTTAATAATATATAATATTATGAACATTTGGAATAATAACGAGGTCACATTTTTTTTTACGGTTTTGTGAACGTATGCTAAAATTGTACTTAAAACCTGAAGAGTAATAATTTATCCTATGCAAAACTTTTTGTACCCTGTCGACAACGCTATTTGTTAATGTTATAATAAAGAAATCGTTTTAGAAAAACAATCGATTTTTCACGAGAAAACGAAATATATACATTAATATATAGGTAATGTATGTGTTATAGATACATACAACGGGGTTCGTTCGATGTAGGCATGTAGCATTCAGTGGAATGGTTTAGCGAGATGTTTTCAGTATCATTTTTACTGCAGTCCTATATACAGGATCAAATAGTCGATATATACCGCTGCAGTATATTTAATGTATACATATAATATATACAATAATATATATAGGACGAGTGTGTTAATCGCCATAAATCAAACCCCCTCTCGAAGATAATCGACCCCAGAGGCTAAAAGCGCATACTATATAATGTGACGGTGAGCGTACTTATTTTTTTTTTAATTGAGTTTTCAAACATATTTCACGAGAATCGCGGCGACGGGTTTTGTACCCCGCAATTACGAATTCGACGATACAATTTCATTGAACTATTTTTTTTTCTCTCGCCCAATTAAAATTTCTGTTTCGAAAACATCTGAATCCCGGTTGACGTTAAATTATTCGCTTGTTTTTTTTTTATCGCGATGCGGACGCCGGAACGCAAACACGTATACAGTACAGGTATAGGTACAGCACGAACAAACGACTATATAATATACCAATACGGCTTTAAAATAAATAAGACTTCACCGGTGACTTTAACGAACACCGCGTCGTTTCGCATGTATATTATGCTGTATGGCTACGTATTTATTATATGTATATGGTGTATAAAAAAATCCAATATCGTGTTTTAGCGTCGTTCCCGCGACAACAGTACGCATAAAATATCAAATCTACCCACTCGATATTCTCTCAAAAGTATAATATTGTATCTTTGCGTCGGACCCGAAACCGATACCCTGAATGCGACTTAAGCGTGGACATTATTATGTTACTATTTTTTAGACATAGGTACTTTGATTCCGGCAGAAATATACGAAAAAACATTGATACGATATTCAAAGATGTTCTTCGTTCGCAAGTGCAGCAGTATATTATAAATCGCATGTGTTATAACCTTGACTGTAAATTAATGGATTTCTATTGTTTTTTCTGTAGAAAGAATTAAGTGCCACCAAAATAAGGTATATTATCATGCGATAACGTATTACACACAGTTAAAATTTGCATATTTTTGTATCATATGGGTACCTCAAAAAAAGTATTATTACAATATATTTTGTGCTAGTAAAAATTGTATTAATTTTTCTATTATTTAGAACATAAACGAATGATTTTGTCGAGATTGTTCATTAATACAATATTTAATTTGCAGCAGAAATATTAATATCTTGTACTCACGTCCAACATCCGTTTGCCGTCCTCGGTGGATATGAGCGCGACCAGCGCGAACAGACAGGATTCTGGACACTTGGTCGAGTCAGCCTGGAGCATCCTGTCGCACTTGGCGAAGTAGTTGTGCAGCGCCATCGAACAGCCCGGGCCGAATGCGCACTTCAGTCGGACGTCTTCGCACATCACCTGGTTACGGTCGACCAGGGCATTGGTGCCTGCGTCCACCAGTGCCAGTCCTTCCCCGAAGCAGGACGCCAGCATGCCCGACAGCAGACATGAGAGCATCCACATGATGGTAATGAAGTATGAGATAGCCATCTTCAGCACAGCTGTTCCTGCGTAATCAAAACGAATCGTATACGATCAGTAAATCGGTTGCATACAATCTGCTGTAAAATTATACTTTATACATTATATTATTCAAATTTCAGATTTCGTTGGGTATAAGTATATTATATATACATATATATATATATGATTAAAATGTATAACTAAAAGGGTTCCGAATAAGACGGAACAATTAATTTGCAAAATTCCATATTTCGTCGAGTGAGTATGCGATTCAAATATAATACCTCTAAACGGACGTATCGAATAACACGCAGAGTGCCGAATATGGAGGATCAATTTCGCTTGTTCGAAGGCAGATTAAAAAACGTTTCACATCGCAAAAGACTTTTAACGGCATACGGTATACGGCTGTTGAAGTTAAATGTGCAGAAGGTACACTGTTTTAAAATGCTTACAACAATGTATGAGGTACCTACTGAATAAATATATACAGTGTAAAAGGATATTGTGCGGGTGCGGAAAAAATATTGTCGTGAAACTAATATTTTGCATAGTACTGTGTAATAATTGAATACCTTCAAATTCAAATTGATAACAATCATAACTCAATTTCGAGAGCGGAAAAAATGTTGCAATAAAAAATTTAAATAAATAAGAAATTGATGTTATTTTACAGCTAAATTGAAATTTTGTATCGAGGTACCACCTCGATACTAATCATTATTGCTTAATACAAAATAGATGAAAATGTGTACCACTCAACACTGCTGGGATGAGAAGCCACCTATACTATATTATATCCATTTATACAATTTTAATTAAAATTATCGTTCGTTGATAGCGAATTTGAAACATTTCACTTATTGCGACGGCATAATTTATTTATGCCTACTTGATACGTAAATCATTAATAATCTAACCAATGTAACCTGCTTGTTATAAGTCATAAACATCACGCGTATGTACTCGGGCAGTAAAGGATTAGTGGGATTATATAGGTTTTAGCCGACTTATGTAAAAAAAAACAGAATTTTTTTTATTAACTCAGTACCTCTTATTAATGTTGTATAATATGTGAATAATGAGTGTAAAATACTATGTATAAATTATGTACACTATTCGCCGAATACGAAATTATAAGCTTAAAATATATTGAATTATGATCATTGATCTGTTGTCCAATTTCACGAATCTCTCGTGTACAAAACTGCAGTATATTAAGCGATACGCCGAATGTAAACATTTTTGAAACACGGGAAATGATAGAAACTAAATGACTTCGGAACGTTCGTTCATGAATTTTAGTTTACCTACCGCACGGCTGAGCCTCGCACGTAAGTCACGAAATCGATATTATTTTATTATACAGACGCAGTACCTGTATATGCGTACCTACGCTCTATATTAGGCGGATTGTTGGTTCGGTCTCGCCACATACACGAGAAAAAAAGACGGTCCGAAATTGGATTCATCGTCGAAAACGAAAGAAAAAATTCACGAAACCGATAAAAATGCCAACCGCGCTCTCATCGACGCTGCGCACGACGACAATCAATGTCAAATCGATCGTAAATCGAAACTCGCGCGCATTAATTACAACTTACAAGACATCGACAACAGGTGTATTCGTGTATTATATAATATATTGAATCCTCACAACAACACAATATATAATATACAGTGTATACCATCGTAAATTTAATAATGTTTTGAATGCTTAAGACCGGCAAGTCTTATTTTTCCACAGACATAAATCTGAAGCTGGCCAACTTAATACATTTATATATTATATACGTTTAAAAATTGTTTTCTCGATTCTTAAACGAATTCGTACTGGAATATTACTGATATATTATGTATCCACCCCTCCGCCACTTTGTAGTTGACTCCTGCAGGGCTATTTGTTGACTTGTTGTCTAAGAAATCTTAACACCGAAAATATCGAAAACGGTCTCCGCACTTCATACTGGTGAGCATATATTTATAGGTAACATGTATTTGGTGCATGATATATACTATATAGCATTACAAATCTAATTAGGGTATTTTAAGAAATTTTGGCGGGCTACTAAGCTGGTGTTGAAATTGTAACTATATTTAGATACCAGTGACCAAACAAAATGATGTGCCATAATCAGTCAGAATACTTTATGGGAGAAATTTTACGGGCACGATAGTTGCACCAAATTTGGTTTTAAAATACCCATAATATTATATATTTTCCCGAATAAAACAATCTTTAGGTTGAGCTCTTTAAGGTCACTATGTTCACCAAATGACAACCGACCCTTCATCCCCGATTTAGTTATTTTACTTTCTCCGAAACAGCACCGCCTCACAATAATAACGTCCGTCGGAAAAAAAAGCGAGTAAAATTGATTTTTGTATTCTAAAACAAAATGTGATAACAATTTTTAATTGTAGTGCATGCCAACCCGCGCGCGCGTTTGTGTGTACTACGCATTCACGTGCAGCAGAGGAATACGTGCGAAATGGACGCGCGCGAGTTTTATTATTCACGTATTGTCTGTCCGACGCCATTGTGCAGTGCGTGTCGCGCATACCGTTTCTCGCAGCTACCTGAATTATTATTATTATTATTATTGTCGCGAGTCGTGTGTGTACATATTTATTATTTATACAATATCTCATATTATTATTATTATTTTGTATAGGCACTGGCAGCAGGACGAGGGCCGAAATAAACAGGGAGCGATCGGACGAGCATACATGGAGGATGAGGATTTATCTCTCCGATTCATGACGTTATTATATTATATATATATATATTTATATATTATATTAACACATAAACCTATATAATATATATATATATACACGAGTGTGTGCGTATTATATTATATCCGTTTAATTTGTTTGACTTGTGCACACACGTAGGACAGTAGTGTGTGTACACATACACGTGCAGGGGCACTGCCTCATGTGTATCGTATATAGTGTACTACTGAGCAAACACTACACGAGCGGTGAAATCGAATACACATCACGCACGCCAGGCCGCCGCGACGGGCAATACAATATTATGCAGTCGAGCGCGGGGGCGGACCTACATATATTATTATTATTATTATTATTATTACATTATATGTTTGTTTTCGTATAATACACACACACATAATTTTTTTTCTGTCGAGCACCTATCAGCAGTGCGCACGCGACCCGTCTCAGCATCCGACTCGTGTTTTTATCTTATAAAATATACATGAGAAGGTGACTAGGAGGGTACTGGACATGCCTCGCGTATGTTATATTTTATTAGTATATTGTATTTGTTATCAAATATTATTATATCAAACCAATACATACGCCTAGCAGATGGATACCGGCAATCCCCGTTTATATGATGGAATGCGTATAGTCGAATCGCACTTAATAGGTAATATGATATACCTACCTATAAACTATAACAGCGATTAAGTTGCTCTCGGGTTTGAAAACGCGAGCGTCAGTCGATTAAACCAGAGGTCTCCAACCTGTTTTTTAAAACTGGCCAAATCTATGATACGCTTCAGCATCAGAGGCCAATTTTTTTTTACATAAAGTTAGAGAGGTAATGAAATGGAAGATTTATAAGAACCAATAAACTAATATAATATATTTACAGAACATCAATTAGCTTGGCGGGACAGGGGTTTTCCTGGTTACACGATATAAGCGTTCTATAAAAGTCAGGTTGGCCGGTAGTATTTAGAGGATTGCAAGAGTAGTTTAACTCCCCTGATATTATTTTGCTCTCGAAATACTTTCCTTTCTATTTTACCGACAATCCTGCCGGTGTTTTTACATTGATTCCTTCCCCCCAAAAATAAATATATATTTCAGATGTGTAAATTCAATGTATACACATTATTATAATTTATAGGTATGACGTAATCGCAATTCGAGTGTCATCTTTACACAGCGGCTGATCGCTTTCTCTCCGCAGTTTTCAACGGTCGGCAAAACTCGAACAAAAAATAATTATAAAACGTTTTATCACGGCACCTATAATATAATGACATGAGCAATATACTACGCAAGGTACTACGCCCTGTACGACGCGACGGATGTGTGATTTATACAAATATTTTATTTGATATTGCAGGTACGAGACTCGGAAGTTCGTCAAAATCTTTAGAATCATAAAACGCTATAAAATAACGTAGGCACTCGTATATTTGTTACAATGGGTACATAAAAAATGATGAACATAACATAAAACTATACACCAGCCATGACGCTATGCGTATGGCTGTTTAATAAAATATAATAATATTGCATACGATGGGCTTGATTTAAGTTGTTTTTAATTCAAAATTACCTACCGCAGAATCTATTACGAAAAAAAAACATTATCAACGCATTTTTACGATCCGAAAATAATCGAAACGGTTTAATCCTTTAATTATTGTCTTTTTCGGTCGTAATATTACATAGAAACACTGAAACAGCGCGCCGACCCACCCGATGGAAACCTTAGATGCGATACGGGCGGCGTCTAAAGGAGGATTCCAATTATGAACCAGCTATTAAAAATTCACAAAATCAAATCAAAGCCCGCATAATTTATGTCATCGTGTCTGCTGTACCAACGAACATTATATGCATACAGTAAAATCTCACGGGGTTAGTTTGCATACAATGGATCAACGGCGTCGAAATTGTTTAAGTTATGTATATTAAAAACTTTTTACGATTTTTTGATGGGATATCATTGCGCAATATAACCATTTTTATTGATATTAAGCGGTAAACAAATCCTATGCCAAAACACAATAAAAAATGATTTGGATATAAAAACAAAATTCAAATTAATTCAATATAATTTATTATAAAACGGTTCTGTGTAAATTTAAAGAAAAAATTTTTTTTTTAGTGTTTATGCCAATATTTTTTTTTTTTCATTTAATTGTATTTATACAAATATGGTTGGAGAACAATAAATATTAGGTACTTGTTATATTATTATTTAATATTTTTATGAAATGTCAGTTGATAAATTAAATGAATTAATAATAAAATATTATAAAAAGCTTGTGTGATTTCGTATTTTTATGTTTTGTTATAAACAAAATGGAATTCTACAGACTACAATAAATAGCGTGAGTTCAGACTCAAAGAATTCATTTAAATCTCCGAGAAACAATGTGAAAAAATCATTCATATTGCACTCTATGCTCTTTCGAATAGGTATAGTATAATAGTTTGCCAACAATAATCGAAATGTCCCCGACATCATAGACAATTTTACGCTCACCATTTTAGTGGTACATTGTTCGTCGAACGGAGTTGTACATTATATATTCGTAAATACAATTATGGGCTAAAAGACGGATTCGGGCGGAGAAACAATACAACAGAAAGAAAAAAAACGTAAGAAAGAGGGTGGTGAGCTAGGGGAAAGGCCGGAGCTGTCACGTCACAGTCGTTATAATATAATATCGTATTATACTCTCCCATTCTCCCACGAATAAGTCTCTACAGCGCGGGTTGTTTGCGAAAAATATAAAAACCGCCCGCCCAACGTCCAAGAGAAAAGAAAACGACCGTGCAGCATATACAGGTGGCACACAACACTACGGCGCGCGCATTCAACCGTCGTATCCATATGTGTGTGTACTTATATTATATACCATGGTCGTGCAGACCTGTCAGACCTTTTCACCTGTCACCCCTCCGGGCAGCTCCAACCTTAATACGAGTGTGTATATATATACATAAAATACGGTACGTGGTAATCCGTCTCGGATTACCCCGGGCCAAGGGACAATACTGAGTGATGAGGGGGGCCTTTGAGAACGAGCGGGGAATGAAAAAATCACGTCGAATAAAAAACCGTGTCCCGAAAAAAAACCAGCATCGTGGCCTACGACCACGACGGTTGCAGGTTTATATTTCGAATTTCGATCGACTGTGCATTGCACATATATACTAAAACATAAACATGCATACAATACTGCGTTATACCATTGTATAATATACGCATATTTACGTATATTTAATCAATGGTTATACTGCAAACCGTTATAGTAAAAGTCCGAATGAAATTATTCTTTTTTGCTTTTGCTGTAAGTGCCGAGGTGAGTACGGTTAGTTTATGCCAGAATCACAAAACCTATCTCTAACCGGTAGTAATATGACTTTGGCGGTAACACATATATATAGTATATATTTATAATACATATTATATTGTATTAAGTTATAATCCCTAAGTGATATTCCACGTCAAACTCCGGTGTCCGTTCGACCGGACACGATCGCAATGTTTTCATGTGCAGGCGAGTGCGAAAACGCGAAATTTCTCGGTTCGACGAACTGCAGCGGATGTTTTCAACCTATATATACATATAATACAGGATGATTCTTTTTTTGTGGAACTAGACAATAATAATATTTTTTTACTAATACTTAACGTTTAAAGATATCCTATTTTACATTACCCCATAATTATCAGTAATTGTTTCTGAAATTAAAAAAACAAATTCCTAGTATTTTCTAAAAAATGGCCCGGTTTACGACTGAAGAATTATTTTCCTATATTATGTGCGACGCTCGCGGCGGCCGTTTTCGAAAGAACAAAAAATTATACGTTTTGCAAACATCGTACTTATTGCAGGTTCATTCAGACTGGTTAATTTCGGAATGTTAAATTATAACTATTAACTTTTTGCGGCAGCAGTTTGGACGCCACACGAAGTGTCGTAAAATATATTACGCTAGTACTTCATAGTATATTTAATAATAATAATAAACAAACATATAAATAGGTATACAAATATACAATTCACAAGTGCAGACAGTGCAGTGTAGAATAGATGAGTTTGAAACTGGCCAATAATTATTTCCTCACCTGGCGGATTTAATGTTGTTCTCTTATTCTAGAATTATTACTAATCTGAAAAATCGTTCAATATGTCCCATATTAAATTATGTACCTACCAAATTTGTGAGTGTAATTGTAAATCTAAGCGTACACTGCAGGAGTGGTTTCGGAAAAAATCCAAAAAACGAGAGGCTCTATGTACGATTCTCATATTATATATTAAAATATGTATGTAGGTACCAACGGACAATTGATGAAATCACCGAGAAAGGAGAAAAAAAGGATTTACTTAAAACGTTATGTAGAGTTTGACTGTTCGAATCCTTTATATTATGATGTATAGGTACTTAGCGAGGATATCTATTATTTAAGTATTTGATATAATTGGCATCGCACAGGCGAGTGGCGCCGATATTTGTTTTTGGTGCATACGTGCGGAATCGTTTTGTTTTTGACATCTACGAGCCTATACACATTTCGAGACAGACTTCGGAACAGGTTCTATAATATTATATTATTACAGTGATCATAGATCCGTGGCAGGCAGTTGTAGTCGTAGTATATATACATATTATACAGTAATAGCACGTATATTGTGTATAATATATCGACAAAAATCGTTTAGACTAGAAACAAGTTTCAGAATTTTTCCAAAAACCAACCTTCGAATAATAGGGTCTTCGCTATATATACATAATAATAATATAAACACGATAAACTGAAACCCGAATAAATTACTTGAGGTTTTTTATTTTTTTCTGTCGACGTTTAATTTGAAATACTAATTAAAATTTGTCCTCTTCGATATAATTGAGTATTGGAAAATATTAGACGCGACGTAAATATTATTTTGTTTTCGTCTAATAAAATATTTATAATAATATCGATTTTATTATACATTAAGCAAGTAAAATTTAAAAATACCTCTCAAGAAGTGCAATTTCAACAGAACGTTTCCAATTAAATTACTCCACCATCGGTTATTAGGTTGTGAACAATGATCTGATAGACTTATCTGGTCGACGGTGAGCAATTGTTGGCGGGTATACATATATAGCATATATACTATATATAAACACAAGTACAAATGTATGCAATTAGGAAGAGCTCCGCGGAGCTATAAAAATATTTTATACACTCTTCGAATGGGTTCATTAAACGGTGTTTTTATTATACTATCGTCGTGGTACCTAATATTTTATACCTCACCGGTATACGCGGTCCCCACGGCGACGCGGAATGACGGTCATAATCTATTTTTCGTGTTCACAATAGTAACAGCAACGGGGTGGGTGGTGGTGGGGTCATTAAAATCGGTATTTTCAGCATTCGGCTACACATACACCCCCGTCATTACATACGGAATGCATTTTGTACAATTCAAAGGAAGTGTGCGCAGTGTCGTTTGAATAATGGAATATAATAGTTGGGGGACGGGTACAATCCGAAAATCGTAAAACCGTCAACCTCACGGCAGACCCGCCGCTGTTTCATATAATACACTTATATACTATATCTACAATAGAAGCATAATACCTTTACCTATACGGTTAATAACATCACGAAACACTATCCTATCGCAGATGGGTATAAACTATAAAAACGTGGACGGAAAGACTCGTCAGCGCGCGGACTAGTTGTGATTTGGCGGGAACGGCGAATTTATTACGATACAAGAACATTGCTATATTGGTGGTAATTATAATTAGGTAGATACTTCGAATCCGGCTGCAGTCGTAAAATCGCTCGCCGAAACTCGCGACCGACCGGAAACGTTGTTTTCTTTTCTCCTTTTTATTTTCGGGATACGGCCGCTGCCGGCTCTGTCGTAAAATGCCAAGATATTATATATATAATTGCTCCGGAAACATTGAGCGTCTCGGCGTCTCGCATCTGCAGGATTTCGTTTAAAAATAACATGTTAACATGTCCCGAGCGCGTCAGCCGCAATTGGCTTTGCGGAGCAGATAATATTATTTAGAATCTAAATTGTAGATACATTATTCGGCATATCTGCGTTGTAAGTAACAACCAATACATAGCAAAACAACTGGTAAAACCTTTGCAAACGATCAGATTGATTCACAGTTATGCTCCGAAGTCCGAGTATTTTAAAGATAGTATATTATTAGGTATATTATTAGACCCAAGGTAGCCGACTTCGTGCGCACGCCACGCTCTGTTAATAAAATATATTACAACAAATAATTTATGCACGCTATAAGCTAACACGTTGATCTATAATAATTATGGTTGCTTAAAGCTAAGTATTAAAGAAAAAAATAATGATCAATTGGGTTGGAATAGGTAGTTGGTAGATATAAGGTACTCACAACAATTATCAATTTGAACGAGCGAGCGCTGTCATTACATCATTCCAATGGATTTTTTTTCAAAATTCATACGTATATTATTATTTAACCACACCGTATGAAATAACACTTTTTTTTTTTATTTACAACAACAAACTGTGAGGAAATAACGATAATTTTATATTTTAATTCCGCACTCGCACTTATTATACTCTCGCTCGGCACGCAGAGACCGTCGACCAGAATTTTGATTTATTATTATTCCGCCAGTAAAATGATAATAATTATGAACGGCGTACGAATTCTAATTTTTACACTCGATATTATAATATTATTATCATCAAACAAAATACGAAAAACGGACTCTGGTGTCGGACGCGTAGCGCGATACGCACGGTGTATGCACACGGTCGGATGTCGACGGCTGACGACTGTCGACTGGCTCCGAAAATCTGAAACGCGGCGAACGAGTGCGTGAGTGCGCGCATGCGCGTGCGTGTGTCTCTCATATTATTATTATGTGCGCGTGTGCGTGTGTACCTGCTGTCGACATCTGCCCGTTCGTTTCACCCTACC